TAAAACCGGTAATGGTATTGAGATCAAAACTACTGCACACAATCACACCAAGACCAATATTGAAGCTATAAAACATTTTGATAATCTAGAATAAAATGTCGTGGTAACTAGCTATATCATTTTGCTAACACATTAAAAGGTCAAACTCACTTGAAATGATTATGTGATATTATTATTGTGATAGCTGAGCAAGGCAGAAGTTTAATCCACCCCTGTCATCACTATTTACCAGTACTTTCAATCCAAGCCAATTAATTTCAGTTCTGCTGTATACATTTTTACAATGAAATAAACATTTTTGAGACACTCAAAAATATGTGTTTGCTTTGAATGTTGGAATTTTACCAACTGAACCGGAATCGAAGATACCAACCAAAAAGGCCTCAAATTATTATAATATTGTGTATATATTTTGCAGTAAACTGATAGGAGCATTTTCCTGCCATTTGGTTCATAGAACAATTTAGAAAGAGGGAAAAAAACAGGAGGAGAATAAATAAATAATAATAATAATAATAATAATATATATATATAATAAATATAATAATAATAATAATAATATATATATATATATATATATAATAAATATAATAATAATAATAATAATAATAATAATAATAATAATAAAATGTTTTGTATTTATTTATTGCTGCCAGTACAACAAGATACCTATCTTTTCCAATTCTCAACCGTACACATCCAAATTACCTTACATATTAAGACATTATTTGCAACAACATTAACTAGAATACCACACTGGGGAACTACTGCTTTCAAACTGTAGTAAGTAAGAGTGGTATTGTGCCAAGGTGGCAAACTGTAACTTATTATTATACATTAGAGTTCATTATTTGGCACATTGCTCTATTTAATAAACTTGACAAAGTAATGCCATAAACGACCTACCCAATAATAAATTACATCTATTATCTCATTTATCTCTGTTCTTGTAAGTGAGCCACAGCTCCGTCCAAAATCGCATGATTGTCCTTGAAATAAAAAAAAAATAAAAAAGAAACTACAAAGCATATTGTACCAGGAATAAAGAATAAAAAATATTTATTGCTATTGTAAATTTGCTTAACATTTGCTCATTATAACAAAATCATTTACTGTAGAGAAAGATCCATTGTATACTCCTGTTGATTTTAATTAATTCTGGCATATATACAGCACTAGGCAATATTCCAAATCAACAAAATAAAAGCATCACCAACTATAACCTCATTTGTTTTGCAAGCACCAATGAAGCAAGATGCTACGCATGTCTATGAAAACAAAATTTACATTCTAATGTGAGATTTTAGCATCTTTGTCTTCGGCAATTACGCTGTCCACGAATGGCCTTTGAACAACCTCGGGATTTAATGTAAAGTACTGAATGTGACTGGAATATCATTTCCTACTATATAGCTGGTCTTTGCTCCAAATTACCTACATGTCGTGGACTATAAAATGAATGACAAGTTAGTTGTTTGAGTAACCAGATTATTTACACTGACAGAAGATCTGATTGACCTTTAACTTTGCTATCCTTCCATAATGAAAATTATGCCGTTATTCTTTAATGTGCTAAATTCTAGTTTTCTATTCTGCACTTAAATCAAGACTATACGAATCTGGAGTTGCAGTAACTAATTCCTGCTCATGCTAGCAAAAACATTGATGCTGGTCCATATTGACACGTGTATTTCTATAATATTTGTTTTTGTACTCACTTGTTTCATTTTGAGGTTTAGTACTGTAACACACTAGGCCATTCAGGCTGCAAATACATAAAAGTACAATTTTAAATAACCCTGACACTCATCCAGAGAGGTGCATCTGCTTCAGGGGAAGTCCCAGAACCCCAAATTAAAAGGAGACAACAGAATAGTAAAGGAACCATGCACACTCAAGTATAAACAACAAGATAAATGCTGACATTTTATTTTATTTGCCAAAACATAAATAAAAAGTTGGTATGTATGTACACTCCATGGGTAAAACTCTGTCATTATTTTAACAAAAAAGAATAATCGAATGTTTATATCGGAGAATCCTTCCAAAAAAATAAAATAAATAATAATAAAAGGTTAAATAAAAGGTTGAAGATTAAAGGGACAGACTAGCCTTATAAAAACCCTATCCCAAGATCTTCAGAAATAGCAACAATCCAATGTCTGGTAACATAACAGATGGCAAAAAAAAGTATGACTGCTTAGAAAAATAGCATTTAGAACATGCAATCTCCATGATACCCTCCAAAATACCAAATAAAATTGAAAAGGGATTTTGTGCGGAAACACCGTATTATACTGAAGTTCAATGGTAACACAGTTTAAGTTATCCAATAAATTTCAAATGAATCCAAAAAGTCCTATCAGCAAAAAAATGCTACATGTCAGTAAGCCCAATTTAACTTCCATCCCTGCAACTAAGAAACTTTATTTCAACTCAGCTCAGTATATTCCCATCACAAAACCAGTATCTATTCTACCCACAAAGATTTATATATCGATTTCAGCCTAATAATCATACTGCAGTAGAATAATTAAGATGGATGTAAGTGTTTATTATTAAACCGGGACATTTGTAGAATTAATAAAGGAAATTGCAAATTTCAGGCCAAACTAAAAGTAAAGTTAGTGAAACTCTGAAAATATTCAATTTATTCTTTCATGAATCGTCTCACCCGTTCTCATTGAATAAAGTAATTATTTTGCACCTTTTTTCCCTACACCCTTCATTGTCCCACTGCGTAACCAATTTGAATGTATTTCCATTATCTATGACACTGTCCATATGTCCTTCTTGAACAGCTGTGGCCTTTCTCCTTTTCAGTGAACTCTGCACATACACTGACTAGGTTCCTCTCACAGCGACATCACCATGCATCGAATGTGCTCTAAGGTTAAGGTAGCGCTATTAAAAGTATCCCAGTGGTTCCAGTAATATCCACTAGTAATGCCTCTAGATAAGGGATTTCCATTATCTTATTAAAATATTGTAAATTTGCAATATTCAAACTCTACTGCTTTTCAGTTAATTAGAATTGTCTCCATAAATCAAGAGACTTTGTATGCTGTTAATGTCCAAATGCCTAATTAACAATCTTGGTGCATATACATGCTCTGGTAATGTGCTATACAAGTTGATTTGTACATCCAACGTGTTTGTTATTGTCTGTGTGTTATTGTCATGTACAGAGCTTAAGATTTAATTGGCAGGTTTGTATATATTGTTCTTGTAACCTCAGCTATCGCCTTTAGATCATAATTTGAAAATATTTCTGTCAGTGGACAGATGTCTCAATGAAAATGATGCTCATTAACTTACATGTGCTAAAGACTGGCTTGACAATTATTGCATGGATGTGAATAAAGTCCAATTTCTATTTCTTTCTCTTTCTTTCTGACCCATGTCCCCCAGTTTGTGCTTCAGTCTACACTCTTTGTGTTTTCCCCATTTTCATTTTCCCATCATTCAGACAGACAGACAGCTATTACTTTGGATAATATTTATAAAATGTATGTTGTAAAGCACACAACTAAATTATTTTGATTTTAAAGCAAAAAGATTTTTTTTGCAGTCTTTGATGCCATTATCATATCTACCTTGAGTACCCACAGTTCTGTCAATAGAGGGTGTTAAGACACCCCTGGTGTCTTTAAGAGAAACCACCGTTTAGTTCATCTTCCCCTTTCGCAAATTCAGTAATCCGTTCGCATCAGTTGTAATACACAAACCATAACCAGGGGAAGCGGTAATCTCCCGACCGGGATCCGTGAAAGGATCCAAACTCCCGAACGGAAATCCACGAACTGCTGCTAGCCGCCCAACAACGATATCCACCAAGCGGCTTTCGGTTCCATCCAGCAGTCTCTAAGTGCAAAGAAGAAATCCCCCCAATAACGAGACAGAAGCTCCGCATTGAGGGTCAAACAGGATCTGGCTTTACTGTGGGCTACCTGCCCGTATTTATGCAGGTCTCCCACTTGGTGGACACTCCCCTAGGGGACCAAATGGGAGACTGAAATTACAGATGGACATGGGGACAGTTCAGATATACAATCACAGGCTTTTCCCACAATGCAATATGGTTTCCTCCCCTCTGCCCTGGAGATAATTGAGAAGTAATTCAATTATCTCCAGGACAAAGACAAATCGCCATCTTAAATACAATACTAGAAAATACATAAAAATACATAACTTTAAAATAACCGAACATTTCCCATTTGCATCACATATCCCCAGATAGCCTGGGTCTGAGTGCATATTATTGGCGAACAGCGCTCAGATCCCACACACATAGTTTAATCGCCATGGAGTCAAAGTTCTTACAGTCTTTCGGTATGCGATTGACTCCATGGGAAGGCTATCTGAGTTAAGTCCTTTCGTGTGTTTCAAAACTCCCGAACGGCCGGTGTTCGTACGCTTTCGTGGAGGCAGCCAGGCGTTCCGTTGTTTCAGCGGTGTTCGGCAGAAAAAGTGTCCATTTTTAGTTCCATGAAAATAGAGCCGAACACCGCTGGGCTTTTGCGTGGTTTAAAATGGCCGTTGCCTCGTGGTCGACATATGAACGACGACCACCCTGAATTCGGTTTAATTGAGAAGTGTCTGCGGTTAACCACAACGTTCTAATTGGGATCAATAGGTTAACCAGCAGAAAACTTCTTCTCCTGGGTGGCCGTCCGTTCGGTAGGTTTGTTCGGGAAAAACAGTCATTCGTATGGCTGGGCTATAGAAAACAGCCATTTACACGAACGGGGCAGAAACAGACGAATCCACCGCAATAACCAGACAGAGGGTTCTGTCACAGAGGGTCTCATAAACAGAACGGTTTCCCTTCTATTTTCCAAAACAAATTCCATTATACCCTAGTGCAGGGTTAGACAACCTTTGGCACTTCATATTTTGTGGACTACATCTCCCACAATGCCTTTATAACCATAATGCTGTCAAAGCATCAAGGGAGATGCAAACCACAATGTTTGAGTGCCAACGGTCACCTATGCCTGCCTGCTTAGTCCATCATCTTATATATTATAGTGAATATTGTTCACTGGATGTATATCCAAAAGCTATTTCCTGAATTAAATACTAACTGACCTAAATCAGCAAAAAATAAATGTTCATACCATATTCCTTTGGAACTGTGTACATTTAATTTCTTCTGATCAGGAAGGGTTTGTCAAAGGCCACCAAGCTTCAGACTACATTAGCAAAAGGTCTAACCAATTGTATATGTTACAAAATCCCTCATAACTTAATGCTGAAAAAGCATTTGACAGGCTAGACTGGCAAAATACTACGGAAACACTAAAGAAGTTCAGGTTTCACTTATACATCTCACTATACTCCCAACCCCAAAATCCACCAATAACACTTTCTATCTAAGTCTTTTATTGTCTCTAGATTGCCCCGTGCCTCTCCTGCAAATTTGGGCTTTCGCTTCTTCTTCTTCTTCTTATTGGCATTTATATAGCGGCATCAAATGCAGTAGTGCTTTACAATTTTATAGGGTGGGGGGAAGAATTAACAATAAATGAGACAATTACAAAAACTTACACGAACGACAGCTGTAAGAGGACCCTGCTCACTTCAACCTTTAGCACAGGCTGTGCAAGATGGTGTGTAGCTAAAGGACATCAGATGTGCAAACATTAAATGTCTTTTAAACATATTTGCAGGTAAAATATTGATTTAGATGGAATCCACAGCTTTATGATCATCTATAATAATGTTCTACATACTGTGGCGAAACCAACCTCGCCACTATGCACTGGAGAAGCCTGGTTGCCAGCCTCCTGCCATGTGACTATGGCCCCTGGGATGTATTTCCCTTTAAAGACATGATTTGGGCATAATGGATTTGTGTTGTGCTGCTGCTGGCCCTTTAAGAACCATCTGGGGACATACTGTGGAGTTACTGGGTGGCCACCATTTCCTGTATCAGAAGCACATGGTGAGAACAATGGATGGCGGCCATTTTAACTCACAGACACTGTTTGGACTTTTCAACACGGTGCCATCTCGCCAGTGTTTGTTGCACAGAGACATCGTGCGGTGGTTTTGGACTGTACAGCAGGGGACACATTATACAGTGATTGTTTTTTATTTAGCCTGTATATGTTCTGCAGAATCTGCATTGGACTGTATTTTCCAAAGTACTGAACGGATCTGGGTGAATTTTGAATATGTGGTTCACCCAGATCCCCCAGTTCCAAGGATTATTGCATGTTTTGGGGTCCCTGTGGGGAGGATTTTGTGTGGGAGTGTCTGGGTGTATTGTATGGATTGATTGGCTGTTTTGTAACACCCTGTGGGCTGTACTATGTTTGTGGATTGGGAATAAAAGAGACTGTATGTGACAGTACAGGGAGTTCCTGTTTTAACCCTCAAAGTGAAGTGTGGTCTCATTATTGGGGGAAGGATTTATTGTATGCTGTTCCAGTTTGACTGCTAGGAGAGTAAACCTATTCGTATGGTTTCCTATTCAACTGTCTACAGCATTCATATGCTTGAGAGGATTTATATGCTTCTTCGGTTCGGTGATTGTGGTGTCTGCCAGAGTGCTTGGAGTCCTCAGGAAACGCTAGGAGCATCCTTTAACGGAGGTACTCAGTCGGGGTGCCAGGCGATCCGTTACATTGGTGGCAAGCGGTGGGATGGCGTCCTAGTGCGAGGTAAAGCAGCTCGGAGACACAGTTCGTGGATTTACAAATTGAGGGCAACGCTAGTACCCGTACAGCGACCCTATCTACAAAAGAACTAACTTCAGCAGAGCAAGCATGGCGTATGACTACACTCAGGAGGAGTTTGACAGAGAGGTTAATGAGGTGCTGTCTACCTTTGGACCCAACCCCCCAGAGAGAGCTGTGCAGCTCGCCAGGAAACTAGTAAGAGAATACCTGCAATCTCTAGTAGATTTGGCCAAAAAGGAGTCCCAGGGAGCCAAAGGTGTCGTCCTTCCTCCCCAGCGGCAGTGTGTACCCCAGGGAGCAGAAGGTGTTGTCCTTCCTCCCCAGCGGCAGTGTGAGTCCCAGGGAGCCAAAGGTGTCGTCCTTCCTCCCCAGCGGCAGTGTGTACCCAGGGAGCTGAAGGTGTCGTCCTTCCTCCCCAGCGGCAGTGTGTACCCCAGGGAGCTGAAGGTGTCGTCCTTCCTCCCCAGCGGCAGTGTGTACCCCAGGGAGCTGAAGGTGCCGTCCTTCCTCCCCAGCGGCAGTGTGTACCCCAGGGAGCTGAAGGTGTTGTCCTTCCTCCCCAGCGGCAGTGTGAGTCCCAGGGAGCCAAAGGTGTCGTCCTTCCTCCCCAGCGGCAGTGTGTACCCCAGGGAGCAGAAGGTGTTGTCCTTCCTCCCCAGCGGCAGTGTGTGTCCCAGGGAGCCAAAGGTGCAGTCCTTCCTCCCCAGCGGCAGTGTGTATTCCAGGGAGCTGAAGGTGCCGTCCTTCCTCCCCAGCGGCAGTGTGTACCCCAGGGAGCTGAAGGTGCCGTCCTTCCTCCCCAGCGGCTGTGTGAGTCCCAGGGAGCCAAAGGTGTCGTCCTTCTTCCCCAGCGGCAGTGTGTACCCCAGGGAGCAGAAGGTGCCGTCCTTCCTCCCCAGCGGCAGTGTGTATCCCAGGGAGCTGAAGGTGCCGTACTTCCTCCCCAGCGGCAGTGTGTCCTGCAGGAAGCAGAGACAGTCGGTCTCGCTCCCCAGCAGCCGGACAATATATTAAAAGGGGAGACAGTTGGTCCCCCTCTCCAACAGCAGAGAGTGTTCCAGGGAGAGGAACCAGTTATCACCTCTCCCCAGCAACAGGACAAATTATTGAAAGGGGAGACAGTCGGTCTCCCCCTTCAACAGCAGAGAGAGTGTCAGGGAGAGGAGCTTGTTATCCCCTCTCCCCAGCGGCTGAAAGTATGTATGGGAGAGGAGCTTGTTACCCCCTCTCCCCAGCGGCAGCTTAGCCCACCAAGGGGAGACAGTAATCTCCACAACAGTGCAGATGGGACAGTGGTCTCTGCACATGCACCACCGGGGGTAGGGACAGTCGGTCCTGTCCCCCAGCAGCAGGACTGTTTAGGCAAAGGGGAGACAGTCTGTCTCCCCCTCCAGCAACCAGGCTCCAACCAGACTACTCCCGTGGTAGTGCTGGCACCAGGACAGAGTACCGCTGGTCTCTGCCCACTCAGCAACCCACCCAGTACGCTTACCAGTCACCCACACAGCCATGGTGAGGCACCTGGACACGGACAAAGTTCTCCTCTACCCAGGTGTAGTAGCCAGTTATTGTGGGTGGGCTGTATTACTGATTGTGTTTTGTGGGTGGGCTGCTGGACTAACAAGGGCACTGACCGGCAGGAGGTCAGATACCCTGTTAGTCTGATTGGTAAAGGGGAGAAGTGTGGCGGAACCAACCTCGCCACTATGCACTGGAGAAGCCTGGTTGCCAGCCTCCTGCCATGTGACTATGGCCCCTGGGATGTATTGCCCTTTAAAGACATGATTTGGGCATAATGGATTTGTGTTGTGCTGCTGCTGGCCCTTTTAAGAACCATCTGGGGACATACTGTGGAGTTACTGGGTGGCCACCATTTCCTGTATCAGAAGCACATGGTGAGAACAATGGATGGCGGCCATTTTAACTCACAGACACTGTTTGGACTTTTCAACACGGTGCCATCTCGCCAGTGTTTGTTGCACAGAGACATCGTGCGGTGGTTTTGGACTGTACAGCAGGGGACACATTATACAGTGATTGTTTTTTATTTAGCCTGTATATGTTCTGCAGAATCTGCATTGGACTGTATTTTCCAAAGTACTGAACGGATCTGGGTGAATTTTGAATATGTGGTTCACCCAGATCCCCCAGTTCCAAGGATTATTGCATGTTTTGGGGTCCCTGTGGGGAGGATTTTGTGTGGGAGTGTCTGGGTGTATTGTATGGATTGATTGGCTGTTTTGTAACACCCTGTGGGCTGTACTATGTTTGTGGATTGGGAATAAAAGAGACTGTATGTGACAGTACAGAGAGTTCCTGTTTTAACCCTCAAAGTGAAGTGTCGTCTCATTATTGGGGGAAGGATTTATTGTATGCTGTTCCAGTTTGACTGCTAGGAGAGTAAACCTATTCGTATGGTTTCCTATTCAACTGTCTACAGCATTCATATGCTTGAGAGGATTTATATGCTTCTTCGGTTCGGTGATTGTGGTGTCTGCCAGAGTGCTTGGAGTCCTCAGGAAACGCTAGGAGCATCCTTTAACGGAGGTACTCAGTCGGGGTGCCAGTCGATCCGTTACACATACCTACAGTTTATTTTCCTATTACAAACAAAATGAATCCAAAGCCTGCATGCTAGCAGTTAATTATCCACATGACACCTCACAACAGTTCTAGGGCAGCTATAGGTTTGACTGGAGGTAGATCTTTCTCTTGTATTTAAGGATTAAGTCACCAAATCACCTTTCAGCCTATAAATGTGCAACTTTGGCCTTTAAATAAGAAATTACCTATGAACCTTCACAACTAGTTAACATACTGCACATCATCTGGTTCAGAAGAATAGCATCCATTAAAATATAAATGTTACTTATTTATTTTTTCTTTTCTATATTTCCTATACAGTGGAACCTTGGAACTCGGACTTAATCTGTTCCAGAAGGCTGTTCGAGTTCCGATTGTTCGAGAACCGAATCAATATTTCCCATAAGAATTTATGTAAATTTTATTAATCCGTTCCAGACGCCTAAAATTACAGCATTTTAACACAGATTTTACAAGTTAAAAATACCTTACATGCATAGAATTATTTAGAAATAAAATAATAAACACAATGTACAGTAAATTAAATGAAAATGTAACTTTGTTTTACTTGTAATGATGAGAGTTGATAGCGTATGTGGAAAGGAGAAGATATATTGTTGTTTGGATGGGGATAGGTAACTGTTCTTATGGTATTTAAAATGTGTCTAAGGTGAGACATAGCTTTATAATTGAACCTGTCTGTGGCATGATTTGTCCGGGTACTACCGAGGATCGTTTGTGTACCGAGACATTTTTTTTATCAAAATTTTTGTTCGACTACCAAATTGTTCAGGTAAGGGACCGTTCAAATTCCGAGGTTCCACTGTATCATACTCCCAACCAATTTTACTATGGTTGAAAGAGACATTTCCAAATACATTAGGTCAGACAAAAGAGTTGTTCATTTTACTGACGTTATAACATGGTTCTAAGCCTCTATGTATATAC